CTCTGTTCATTTCATCGCAGATACTCCGTATCGGGCTGTGTCCGGTCTATGGACATTTGCCGCCGTCGGCTCGTTGCTGTTTTTCTTGCCCATGACCTCAATGTGACGTGTTTGTTTTCTTTTGCCATGTCGTCAGAGACACACTTTGTCCATTTTTGTCATTATTATTGGCTGCATTAGCTGCTTTCGTGTAAGTGGGAACGGCTGAAGTCGTTCCAAAAACGGCCCAGGAACCATCAACTCTCGCTGGTGGTTGGCCAACCGTCGACATCAGGGTTCAGTAGGCCGGCAGAAAATGCAACGCTGATACGCTCCAAGTGGCCAGAAGTGTGACAGGACCAGCTGAACCCCAAGCTTCAAGCTCCCGCATAAAGTCTGCAGACATTCTCGCTCTTGTCCTGTGTTGCACGCACGCTAACCGTGCGTCGAGGGATTCGGGCTGTTGTCAGCGACAAAAGAAAACATGACAAGTCAACAAGACCCCAAAACCAAAACTGCAAAATGACCGAGATGATGGAACTGTACGGGTTGGCCGTTCGCCGTTTCTCCCTGTGTGTGTTGTGTGTTGTACCAGCGACTCGAACACGTAGGTCGTAGCAAGGCGCATAGTGCACAATATGTGCTTTCTTTGATTCTGTTTTCGTCGACTGCTTCCTTCGCTCAGCTTGCATCGGTTGGCCTTAGCCGAGCTAGCCACTGTTTTCTTTCTTTTTCTTTTCTTTTTCTTTGTAGTCAGTAGATACCCGAAAAGTCTCCTTGCCTGGTGATTTCGTCATCTCTACCTCACCAGGCCGGCGACTGGTTCCTAGCAAAGGGAAGGCAAGATGTATAGCAAATGTGTATTGAGGGTAGGGAGTATGGGGCGCTGGGTCGAAAGGTGTAATCTGTTAAGCGAGCGCGTACGTCTCGGTTGCCAGAATCCGGCCGTGGAAGACATCATCCCTTGCTGCATTGACTTGGCTCACTGTTCCTAGACCGTCGTCGAATGTGTCCAGACTCTGCAAACAGAGGCAACGATGCGAACAGAATGGGCAAAAACAAGCGAGAAATGGTCGAGCCCAGGAGCAAATAGAACGACACTACCGAATCTGCCGGATGGATATGTTCTCAGTCCACCATTCCTGGGACCCTAAATAGTCTGTGATACCCCGAAAAAGGGAGGATGGAACAGATCGACGACAGCAATGAGCAACAGCAACACTACCAATGCGTTGCGGCAACTCGAACTGGAAGATGAAGGCCCGCAGTGACGAAGACGCGACTGAGCAATGCGGAGAGAAACCAACCCCTCCCTGCGTTGCCCACGAAAGTTAGCAATGTTTCTGTTGTGATATGTTTCTGTTATATCGTCGACTCTTTACGGCGACTGGGTCCCGTAGTGTATCCTGTAGCTGCCATTCCGGGCCCCTTGCTTTCGGATCTGGAGCCGAGCTATATTTGCTTTTTCTTCTTCTTCGTGTTGTAGTTCACATGTGCTCTACTTCATGTCCACCATTGCTTATCCGTCACTTTTGCTCATCATTTCTGTTCCTTCTGCACGCTGGTTCTTTCTCCCTCTGCGTAATCCGCACCTACCTCGATAGGTCTCACTTCGGTGCCTTTTGCTCCTTCCCTTTTGCTTCGATTCTGGGAATTCAAGAACCAGGAAGGCGCGATCCCCACCAGTGTGGCCGTCCAAATGCCCTGTCGTTCCTTCCTACATGAGATCTTTGTTGACACCTGTTGGCATCTGCGAGCACACATTGATGTACATTGCCGTATCATAGGTAGGCACGACCAGGGACACCAAACACACCAGTCCCGCCTGCCCTTTGCACTTGCCAAATATTGATACTGGGCACGTAGGTTGCCCCCCGATTGTCTATCTCTGCGGCGTCCTATCCCCCCTATTCCTCCCATTCCTCCTATTCCTCAAATTGCTTCTTCACGACTCGCTGTCCTTCAATCCAACAGAAGCTGTTACGTGTCTCACACACCCACGCCCACTCTCTTTCGTCAGTGTGCAGGTCGCACTCTCGCTTCGTGACCTGCCGTTTCTCCAGTGCGAACACTCCATTAACAGTAGCAGCATGCGAGTCTGGTGTGGCAATCGAGTCCTTTGCACCCAGTAACTGCTGCTTGCGTTAACGGACTCAACTTGGACGACCGTTTACCTGTCGAGCTCCATCGCACCGTTTTCTGCTCGTACTTTCAGTGTCTGCTCCCGGCCCGATTCCCGACTCCCATCAACCGTTTTACACTCTCTCGTCTTAACCTGTACTCCCGTCTACTCCAACCTGGAGAGGTACTTTTTCCCGCGGCAAAGTCGTTTTGCAAGTGACTGATCGAAATGAATACAATATATCGAACCTGGTCCTTTTGGCTTCAGACTCTGCTGACCCTGGTCTTCAGAAACACGACCTCCCTGCACATATGACGGTGCGGCTCCGCGCTCTCATAGGATGTTTGAGAGCGGAGGAAAGAGGAGGGAAGGCGAAAGCGCGAGAATTCAAATCAACACGAGCAAAACAGGCTTCCCCAGTCGAGAGTCGAGATCGGTCTTCCGACACAGCACCCTGTGCATCAGAAACTAGAAAAGGCAAACATAAACGTACCCTACCGGCATTGTTTGCCATGCCTGTCTGTTTGTTGACTACAATCCCCGGAGTGCTTCGTTGGGCTGAAGCCACCTCCAGCTCGAGCTCGCCGAGCTACCGGTCGGATTCCCAGTGGAGAATAGGGTGCGGCTGGATGTGAGTTTCCTGCACATCAGGACGTGCATATTCGAGGCTGAAAGTGGTGGCCCAACTTGCAGGAATACCTACGGAAATATGGAGTACACGTCCTGGCTTTGGAACCAACCGGTGAGCAATTTGGTTTCGACACCAGAATAGACACCGTCTCCTGCACTAATCTTACCTCGAAGGCACTGGACCAGAACTGGCAAACACAGGAGCAGAAGACAAAGTAGAAAGCAACCACAGCGGGACTGTTGGCACATCGACAGGCTTTCTCTGCGCACCCGAGTTGCTTGATGGGCGTGAATTTTCGAGCTTCGCCGAAGAAGAGGATCATAGCCTTTTTACTTGCAGGGACACTGCTTGATGGACTGCCCATCGACTCCACACCCAACGATGGAAATGGAAACGGAAAAGGAGAAACGAGACAAAGGAAAAGGATAACAAGAGCTGAGGACAGACAGGTCCGGCGGCAAAAGAGTGTCTAGCTCCTTGAAAACAAAGCACCGCCTAGCATACTGGGAAATCACATTCCGCAAGCCTAAGCAAGGCAGCTCTATGAGAATGCCGGGTCTCCTTGCTCTAGGAAATGGTTTCTCACTCTCCAGAGGCTGCACAGTACGTCTGCCAGCACCAAACTAAACCTGTCCCCTAACATAAGAGCATGGGCCTCTGAAAGGTCTCTCTTTCGGGGACCGAAACATGCACCACACAGGCTATCTGAGAGGGCTTGTCGTGATATCGGCGATCACTCAAAAGGTCGTTCCTAGGATAACCGCCTGCCTACCTCGATGCTTTTTTCCCCTATTTGTTTCCTCGTCTATCGTCTCAACTCAACTGGTGGCGCCGTCGCAATCGTCCTTTGGAGGGCATTTTGAATTTCAGAGGAGACGACGGTGGGGAGACCCTGGGAAAGAACGAGCGACAAGGTATCCAGACTTGCGCTCTGTACGAGACGATGGCTTGAGCGCGTTGTCCGGACATTCTGCGTCTTGCATGCCCCAAAGAACACGGATCAGGGTTTGAACTGCGACCTGGATTTGCGAAATGCAGCGGGAAACGAGATAGACGGAAAATGGGAAAGGGATATGACTTCAAGAGGGAGGTATGGCAAGAAAAGTACTACTACACCACCCATCGAAGATGCATACCGCATGTCCCGGGTTGTTTCATTGCTTCATTGCTTCATACCGCGTTTCCTCCGATACGTGGCCCTTTTGCTTTCACCACTTCACGTCATTCTTCTGTCATCCCTGGCTCCCTCCCTCCCGTTCTACGAAGAGTAACACTGGTATGCTCTGGTAGAGGATAGTTGCTCTTCCTGGCATACCCCGACCGTGCAATCCTTCTTCGTCCCCCGGTGAAAACGGTGGACTTCTTATTTGTAAGATGCAGACGCTCTCCCTCGCATTTGCGTTGTTTTATTGTTGATCACCACGCCCCCCTGAATGGGAGATAGACATGAAAGCATGGAAGAAAGGACAACAGTGCCACATGCATCCGTCGGGCATACCTGCCGCCCCGTCTGCCTTGTCGACAAAAAGCAGGAAGGGGGTCCTTAGGGAGAGGGTGTGTCAATAATAAAATGCAATTAGCACAGCACGACGGGAGCGTTGCGCTAACCCCCCCAAAAGCTGTTGTCAGGATGGCGGTGGCAGTCGTGATGGTGGTTACGAGAACGGAAGGTCAGAAAGCAAGCGACCATGTCCTTGTCCCCCCACCGGACATTGAGGAAGAAAATCATTAAAAGCCAAATAAGAAAAATAGAGAGAAACGAGAGAAGAGAAGATTGCAGGCCGTCGTACGACAAAAGTCCAGTGCCAAATTTCGTGGATGGGGGCGTGGAAACAATACATCGGCGAAGCAGTACTGTATGCGACATCGAGAAAATAAAGGGGAATAGGAGAATGTAACCGAGAGGAGGAATGAAAAGACATAGGACGTGTGGTACCATGAAAACAGACTGGGAGAAGCAAGCATTCTCTCTGTACACTATTGAGCAGTTTAGAAGATCCAAAAGACCTGTCTTGCAGACTTTGAGTGCCCTGGATGCTGTCGGTGAGAGATGAAGAGACGAAAGAATGATAAAGGTTCGAAGATGCTCTTCGAGCTCAACAATCGACGTCCGTTTCACGGAGAAAGATGAACTCTATCACTTGCACCCGTTATGTAAAGTAAAACAAAACAAAACCAAAGATATCATGATCCCGCCTCGGTTATGTGTAGTATACAGAAAAGAAGGTTCCATGGTAAATAATAAGAATAATATTATTGTCCTGACTGTCAATTCCGCTCGGATGGTTGCTCACGGTTGACAGGCTGCGCACCAATCAGCCACCCCACGCCTGATGTCAATGTGCCCATGGCCGCGTCGCGCAACTGATCCCGTTTGCGCACGTGGGGACCGCTGGGCCCGTCGGCACCAGACATATCGTGGCCGTCACTGTTGGTGCCGCCGCCGTCGCCGCCACCAAGGCCGACAAGCTCACGTGTCTGTCGAAGGTTCGACAGCGCAGAAAAGTTGCGCGATGCTACACGCGCCGTAGCCCGCGACAGGTCGAAGAGAGACAGTGGCGCGTCGTCTGAGGTGGCGCCGGCAGTGGCGGCCGACGAGGCAGACTGCTGGCGTCGGGGTGGCCGGGCAAGGCCACCGCTGCCATGGCCAGGCCCAGTGGTTCGAGGACCAGAACGTGTGGATGCTTGTCCGCCGTAGGTCGATGTGGCGGCAGCAGAAGCTGCCGCCGCGACGCGCGAGGCCAGTGGTCGGTTGCTGCGGCCCGAGGCCGACGACGGCGACGAGCGCCCGCTTCCGTCGTCGGCGCCAAAGCCACCCGGCATGCCGCTGCTACGGCGGTTGTGTTGCAGTTGACGGCGGCGCTTGGCATCGGTATCGGCTGTGGCGGTTTCATGCTGCCACGACTGGTCCGCTGCGTCGTCCCAGGCAGTTTCCTGCTCGTCCTCCGCCTTGACCGCGGCCTCAAGCTCTTCCTCGCAGCGGCGGTAGGCGTTGAGGATCTCCTGGAGCGTGTCAGGCGGCGCGACACGCAAGGCGGTGGCCAAGCACTCGATGCGCTGCTCGAGGTGCCGAATTTGGAGATTGGCACTCGCTGTGCCGAGGTGTGTCGGACGCACCGTTCGCTCGGTGCGGCGGTATTTGCCAGCTTCCAAAGCCGCACGCCAGGACCACGTGTCGGCCGACGGCGCGCCGCCGTACGAAGAGGATGCGTTGACGCCTTGTGCCTTGGGCAGCTCGTCATCGTTTGCCAGCCGGCTCATGACGTAGGAGTAGGCCGTCTCAAAGTCGTCCTCGGTCAAGGCTGCATCAATGCACATGGCGGTGACGCGGCGCTCAGCCAAGGCACGCTGCAGGGGTGCCTGTTCGGGTGTGAGCGCGGGCTGGCCAGCCTTGTCGCGGACCGTCAGGCCAGCATCGACAATGTCGGTGGCAATCTTTAGCAGTGCCTGGATGTTGGTGTAGCTTCTGGGGTTCTGCTCCAGCACTTTTCCCAGAATCGAAAGAGGGTCCGAGTGGACGCGAAGCACAACCGGCGTAAAGGGCTCGCCCTGCTTGAGGACAAGGCGGTAATCACATAAACCGTGTGTGGCCGCCATCAGCGCCTCTGCACGCCGTGTTGCTGGCAGTGATTTCTCGACTGTCAGGGGGAAGGTATGGATACTACAAATCGGTTAATAGGCACAAAACGCCAATATGAAAAGGCGGTTCTTACTCACATTTCGTCGCATTTCTTGAGGCCACCCCGGGTCCGGTTTGGGTTGGAGGCATTGTCGTAGGCGTTCAGAGCAGCTGCCAGAACGGTGTCCTGGACGAGGTTGTTGGAAAGAGGATGGTCGGGCGAGTCCTCATAGAGTGACCGGGCAAGAGAATATCCTAAGAAATTAGCAGGCGCATTCGACTCATTTAATCCACACAAAGACCACCAGACCAAACATGTCGACGTACTCGTATTTGTGAGCAGTGCCTTGAGGAACTCTACTTCGATAAACTCCCGCTTCACTTGGCCAAACACGCCGCTGCCAGTCGATTGTGCATGGTCGTCTGTAGCGCCCCCGTCGTCGTCAGCGCCCCAGTCGCGCAGCCACAGGATCTCGTTGCGTGCCTTGATCCAGTACCGGTCGTCGTTGCGTGTGCCGTTGGTGGCGACCCAGTGGATGGCATTGGCGGCCTCGGTCTTTTGCTCGCGCTCGTTCTGCAGTACGGCCAGCTCGCCGGCCCGGCGGATGGTGCACGAGGCGCCCATTTTGTTGAGAAGCGACGCACTGAGAACAAGTGCGTGCAGCAGTTTGGTCGCCGTGCGCGACGGTTTGGTCAGGACGTTGGCTTCGCTGAGAAGGTCATTGCGGAGGTAGACGGCGTTTTTCGGTGTGAGGAGGGTGCCAACGTCGGTGTCGGTCGAGACGGGGGGGAGGAGAGACAGGTCGGTCGGTAGGGCGGGGAGCGGGTCCTGGTCCAGAAGGCCAATAATTTTGCCGACGATGGCGTGCGCGGCAGCCATGGCTTCCTCGGACGATTCGGGCAGGAGGTAGACGCATGCTAGTGCGGCGCGCGCGTACCGGTACTCCAAGTATTCTTGCTCGCGGTCGTCTAGCCACATGGTTCCGAAGCCGCCCAGGTCGGCATCGCTCGGCCCGTCCCACTGCTCAATGGCCCTGGCAGCCACGCGCCACGACTTGGCCGCGTGCGCCGTCAGCCACTGCAGCACCTCCTCCCAACCTGGACATAAGCTCGACTGAAGGCCGTTTGCCTCACTTGCGCTCTTGCCCTTGTCCTCGCCCCCGGTTTCTGCAGAAGACACCGCCCCGCTGCTGCTGCTCTCACGTCCACCTCGCCTTTTCGTCCATCGCCGGTCGCTGTACAGCCACGGACCGATCAAGCCACGCAGGTCGCGGCCCACAAAGTGTAGAGTGTCTTCGTGTGATCCCGTATTGGAAAGTAGCCGAGCCACAGCCAGGCGGTCGGGCAGGTGCTCAAAGTCGGCCAGTGTTTGCTGCAGAGGCGCGTCGGGGTAGTATTCGCAATTTCGCCGCAGGAGGGGCAGGAGGACGGAGATGGTCCAGGTGCGGAGGAAGTAGGAGCGGCTGAGGAAGGGTGCGAGCAGGGCCGGGAGCTCGGGCAGCGCACCAGAGCCATCGTCTACGGCGTACGCGCGTTGGATCAAGAAGATGGCCAGAGGATCTTCTGGTTCCTCCGCCTCCTCCGTTTCCCCTCTCGCCTCGGAGCTCGAGGCAAGTGACGATGCGGCGCCGGGCAGGGACAGCGGCTGGAGGCGGAGTTTGCGCACCTTCTTGGCGGCCTGCTCGTCGGACAACGACTGAACGCTCGACGTATCGATTTCTTCGAGGGGGAAGAAGCACGAGTAGTCGGCCGATTCGAGGCTCTGCAGCAAGGGCAGGTACGCCTCGGTCGTGAGGTGGGATGGGAGGTAAGTGAGTAGCAGGCGGAGGATCAGCTTCTTTCGCAGCGCATCGCCATGGCCAGCCGCCAGCGAGGCGAGGCTAGCGATGTCACCCGTGGCTGTGAATTGCGCCGCGAGGAGGACGACTTTCGGGGGCGACAGGGCGGCCGACATGTCGCCTGCGGCACGCCCGACGCGTTCGTTCCTGGTGTTTCTAGTGTTCCTGCGGTCGTCTCGTCAAGCTGCAGGGGTCAATCGCCGGTCTCGCCGTCGCAATCTGGATTTGTCGAGTCGAGTGTCGTGAGCGTTTGGCGTAGTTGACGTTGTTGACACTGACAATAGTTCACTACGTAATGATCGGTTCTTGGTTAACATGTGTTCCCTAGGAAGCTGCGACTAACGCAGGTGGCTGCCACTGTGGAGTCAAGCTGTGGTGTTCACCGGTCGCTCCTGTCCATTTGCAGACGACGTAATTCTGCTTGATGTGGCTGGTGCTGTGGCTAGTGAAATTTGGTGCGGGAAAATGCCATTGGCTCCATCCCCGGCCCCAGTGACAGAGCATCGCCAGACTACCGACCACTGCTTGTTCTTTCGGGCCAGCGCTCTGCACCACGACGAATCCGACGATAAAACGGCGACCCACGGACGACCGCTACCCAGCTGCTCTGTCGCGCACGCCCATTGATCTCATCCCTACCAAACACACACACGATGGCTTCCGGTTTCGGCTTGAACGGAGGTAGGTGCAAGAAACGAGCGGCTAGGGAACACTGAACCAACGAATGCCGCAAACGACGACGACAACGCGACGATGCGACGATGAACCCGATAAGGATGCTGACAGAGAATCCGTCTAGGCCCCGGCCGGTGCTTCCCCTTCTGGCAGGAGATGCTCGCATGCTACGTCGTCAACTCGTCGGGCGAGGACGAGGCCGGCAAGAAGAAGTGCGCTCCCCTCCTCGAGGACTACTATGAGTGCCTGCACCACAAGAAGGAGGTGAGTCAAGATGCCCATTGACTATTGCTGCTTTCCACTTCAATTCCTCTCAGTCAATCACCAGTCCCCGCTAACGCAACACAGGCTGCGCGCGTAAGAACGCTCCAGGCGGCGCTCCGCAAAGCCCAGGCCGCCACCCCACGAGACGCCGCACCGAACGCGGGCCAGATACGGAACCTGGGTCTGCTGGGCAAAGAGGATGACACACAAAAGCTGTTGAGCTCATCATAAACATACTACGAATACTGGGCATTTGGAACACGTAACGTCGATGAGGAAGCGGGAACGACAAACCCTGTACTGTACATTTGACCCTGAGGGGTTTCATGCAAAATTAAAAGGCACATTGAAACATACTGAAGACCGTTCCCGACGAAAATCTAGCTGCCGCAGTGCTAGCCATGTGATATTGGACGTTTGGCAGCTCGCAGTCGGCTCTCGACACTGTATACGATGCGATGACATACGTGAGGTAGAACCGGTTGCTGGGATGCCAGCCGTTTTGAGAAGGAGCGGCCGGCGGTTGCACCTTCCATAGCCGAAACCACAACACCCCCTTTCCCTCCGTGTTTACATACGGAGAGCGCGATTTTCTGCTCCGTTTTGCTTTGTTCTGGCCATGCTTCGACTACACGTATTCGTCCAACATCCACGCACAATGCCCTGCTTCCGTGGAATCGAGATATCCCTCGTCGCTGCGTCGGACAATAGTGTCTTTCCCGAGTTCCCACACCCCGACGGTTCTTCCGTCAGGTTCGGCGGGCTGCAGTCATCGAGATGCAGCAGTGCTGTGTTTCTCAGTCCTCGGCGCTGCAAACCGACAGACGGACATCTCTCCGACGAGGGCCAGGTACATGCGGATCCCAAGATATCTGTCTATATCCCTTCCGCTCCAGGTAAATGGGGACTCAGTTGTCGTTGCAAGACAAAAGCAACCATGGAGCTAGCTGACAGTGCGTGATGGCAGACACAAACTTTTACTTCCGCTATGTTGTCAACCGGGCTCCAGTTGGCCACAAGTATCTCTTCTTTCAGATCACCATCAGTGGCCGCCACGTGGTGTCGTGGGGCCTCGACCTTGCTGAGACGATGGTGGGTGCAGCACACCAGGCACTCTTTCAGCCCTCGACGTACTACCAGCACAACGATAACGGGGTCATTATGACAGAGTATGGCATCGAGTCGCGCTGCTTCCGCTTTGTGACGTGCGGCTCGGCGGCCGCTTCCATTGCAAATGACGGTGGACTCATTCAAGTGAAAGTGTTCCGGGCCCGGTCGAGACACAGGCGGGCACCACAGCCGGATGCGTACCGCGGCAACTATAAATACGGCGTCGCGTGCGTCCTTATGTCCTTGCCCCGAAACCATTTTCCTTCCGTTCCGTGCGTTGGTCCGACTAGTCTTTTTCTAACAGGACCAGACTCATCAGCAACGGCCTCCTCGAGAATCCGCAGATGGCAAACTTCTACGACTACCACTTGATCGATGCAGTCGACGCACCGTATGCCACCTTTCAATTCCACTACCGGTCGTGGGAGAATCTCAGGCTGCTTCAACTTGCACCGTCCGAGAAGCCACCCGAGCTTCTCTGCGCAAGCCCAGCAAAGACAACAGACGAGGAGCTCGACAGTGCTGGCTTTGACTTCTCAAACAATGCAAGAGGCTGGGCCGGAAACAGACTTGGTGCTTCGAGCGACCGAGACTACGTCTCCACGCCTGGTCCGAGTAATTTCGAGGTGGGAAAACCTGCCGGTCAACGAAAGGAACGCCCTCTTCCGGAACTACCGACCGCTAGCAATCATGCAACCGGTACAGGTACCTTGCAAGAACCGAAGACAAAAACTGAAGCCGAGGACGATCGAAAATCATTTGGTTCATCGAGCGAGGACACGCACCAGGCAGAAGAACACCGTACTCAACGAGTGAGAAAAGCTTCCGGGGCGCCCAAGGGCTCTGGCACGTCGGGCATACCCGTTGCGGACTCCCTCGAGGGGTCCGTTGAAAGCGAAGGCGGTCTCCTGGCTGACACAATGGATTTTGGCTCGGCGATCAAGTTGGAAACCATCTTTTTTGGCAAGGCTACGGAGAAGGACTCGCCCAATATTGTCCGAAAAACGGACCTCCGTGCCGACGAGTATGGCGGACCCGCGTTTGAAATGACTAAGGAAGACAAGGACCACAAGGAAAACAAGGCTCTCCAAGAGATCACTGTGCCTGCTTTGGAGCGCCTGGCTTTCTCGCCCTTGAAGCCCCTGCCAAAGACCATATTCGTGGCTCCGTTCACAGACAGTCTCCGCAAGCGCGAGATGGCACCGCTTCCAGAATCGCCGACACGCCACCGTAGCCGCCGAGTCTCACACGACCCCTCTCTGATAAGCCCTAGAGGCTCGGGTTCAAAGCAGAAGCGGGTGCATGGAGGAAGCCTTGACTCGAGATGTCAGCCACTTTTTGATGAGGAAAGCTTGGGGGCCAGATGATCACGTTTTAGTAAATTTGGAATGATATTGAACAACCAGATAATATCGAATTGCAACGACAAAGTCTTCCTCGAATAGGTGACGGTTTTGTTTGGTGTAATGCTTTTTGGGGGCTAACAACTGTCCACGAGATGAGTTGTCGGCGCTGATTGTTAGTGGCTGATGCCTCAGCAAAAACAGACCTGGAGTTTAAAGCTCCTACATTATGAGCTAGAGAGCGGTATCGCGCCCGCTTTGACTTGACAATGGTCTTTCTTCAATCCGACCACGCTCACCTCCATGTACACCGTCCAATCCAATGGCCAGTCATGGGCGAAACCAAAGAGAGCCATGAAGAGCGAACGGCCCACGAGCCACGCGAAGCGGTAGGTGGACACTCGTATCCCTCCTGCAGCCAACTCGTAGCCCTCAGTTCTAACACAAACCAAAATCTAGACACTGCATTCCGTCGTCTTGGTCAAGATTACACCCGTCGGCAGCCTTGTCCGCTTGCTGCGTCTTCAAATCCCAGAAGGATCACCAGACATCCCCGTACGTTTTCCTATTTTATTGCGTTTTAGCACGACTCCACTACCGCCCTGCTAACTGATTCAAAAAAAGTTCCTTCCTGGCCAATGGGTCGATTTGTTCTGTCCTGGCATCGCGAAAGCTGGTGGCTTCACAATCACATCGTCGCCGTCCAAGGCAGGACCAGGAGCCAGCACACCCGACCGGTACATTGAACTGGCCATCAAGAAGTCGCCGGAGAACCCTGTGGCCGCATGGCTGTGGCAGGATTCGGCGACGATCCTCGGCCAGAGGCTGCAGATTCGCGTCGGCGGCAGCTTCGTTTTCCCACCGCCCGGCGCCCCTTCCTCGTTTGCCACGGACCGGTCTGCGCGTGTCGTTTTTGTGGCTGGTGGTGTAGGCATCAACCCATTGATTAGCATGGCGAGTCACCTGGGCGAACTCAACGGCGCGAATCCGTCCCAAGGAGGGACGGGTGGGCCAGACGTAGTATTTCTCTACTCTGTCCAAGTAGACCCAGAGGTGGTTCCCAAGGGAAACAAAGATGGCGACAACGAAGCAGATCGCATTCCCTTTCTCCAACGGTTGGCCTCACTCTTCAGCCGAGAGGCAATCCGAGGCGAACTGAGGGTATTTTTGACGGACAATCGTGCCAGCAACAAGGTTGACGCAGATTCGGCCAACGACGTGCTGTCATGCAACGAAGAAAAAGTACCTTGTCTCCGGCGACGTATCACGACGGCCGACCTAGACAAGGCGATATTGGGGAAGAGCGATCGTGCCAGTAGCCATGGCCTTGACAATATCTATGTCTATATCTGTGGTGTGCCCACAATGACAGATGTCTTCGTGAAGTACTTGACGGGGGAGGACGGTCCCGGCCTATCGCCGCGCCAGGTTTTATGTGAGAAGTGGTGGTGACACGTTACCGACCGACAGCATGTCATAGGAGTGGAAAGGCAAAAAGGCACGAGACATAAAAGACGAGAAAGACAATCTCGTCCAGTAACGGTATATTACTTTCAATAACTCAGTTTTGGATCCGTGTCCACTCCAGTCGCCCTTTCGACCAAATTTCACCCTGGAAAACGATAGAACCGCCTGTGCCGGGTCAAGCCAAACCCCATCATTTCTTCATCCAATCATGCACCAGAAGCGGTGCTTAGAGGAAACCAGAAAATAGAACCGTCCCCTCGAACTCCAGAAGCTAATAAAACAAAACGGAGCAAAGCCAAGACACAAGAAGCAAGCCAAATACAAGAACTGAACCAAGATGGAATAAAACAGCCAGCCCCAGCAAACGATAAGAAAGGGCGCCCCAGAAGATATGCATGGGATAATCACATAAGTACGAAGTGCAAAAGGTTGCAAAAGAAAGCAAAGCCTGGGGAAAGAAAGGGGGTTATGAAAACAGGGTGGCCCGAATCCTTCCTGATAGTATGTACGTAAATATTAATGCAGGCCAGCGCTGACCATCAGTTCTTGGCTGTCGGCGTTTGAAAAGCTGAACTTGTCCATCGGAAAGTCTTCGTCGGGGGTGCGGATGCCAATCCCGCTGTCATCATGGTTTCCGTTTGCCATGTTCATAGACTCTTGGTTGGTTGTTGAGCTGTGGCTAGGGGCTGATGGGAAGGGAGCACGGTCAGGCTGTGATTGCGGGATATGCGGAGAGTTTGCGTCGTCCGTGGCACCGCTATACCGAGCGCCAGACCGGCTTGCATCCCGACCGGCAGAAGTGTTTTTCTGGGACACACCACTGCCCTGGACATTGCCCAGCAGATCTTGGTGTGAAGAGGTCTGCCGCAGGAAGCCGCCCTGTTCCGCCAGGAAGGCAACCATCTCGTCAATCCAGCACTTGGTGACCCACCAGGATCCAAAGCTCTTGCCCTGCTGGATAGTCAAGTCGCGCATCACCGCAGTGCCGATGCGCTGCACGCACCACACAATGTCTCTGTGAGATGCGTACGGGAAGCGGCCGGGAAGTGACTGCAGAAGGCTGACCCAGCGGTCAAGGACATTGGACGCGCCGCCATCAACGGTGTTCTCATTATCTAACCGGCGACCGCTGCGTGCGGCGTACTCGCCGTACAGAGTAGCCGACTCCAGTTCCCAAGGAACCTCGACAGGGTCGAGAAGATCACGCAACTGTGAGATGAGCAGGTTTACAACGTCGTCCATGCCACGTGCGGGGACAGACTCGGCAACCTTACGCACGCGAACAAGAGTAATCCAATCCAGGTACATTTGATCGCGATTGGCGGGGTTGGAGAGCATATTGGCGGCAGCATGTGCTGTAAGGTTGACACGAAGGGCGCGGTCCAGCAAGCCAGCGAAGATCGTGGCGGGAGCTTCCTTGGCCCGGACAACATGTGACGGCTGACCCTGGAAGGACTCGCGTATGTGAGACACGAGCCGTTCTGAGATGTTCCTCAGCGTGTCCAAGACGGGCTTAGGCACGACCTGAAGCGTCAGGCCGGAGATGATGCGCATCATGCGCTGATACAATGCAAAATCGCTCTCTTCGATCCACGGGGCCACCGCCGGGTTGGCAAACAGCTTTTGAACGGGCATGGTAAGTGTGCCATGGAACGAGGTGAAGAGGTGGAAGAACGTCTTCTCTTTGCAGTATCGAATGCACTCGACCAAGGATGTGCAGTGTGAGCGATAGAGGGCGGCGAGAGACTTGGCCGCATCGGGATCTGTTCCACTCGGGAGGAAAGGTTCGATGCGAGGCAAGACAAGGGGGTCGGATTGCGAGAACGGTTCCGTGTCGGTACTAGACGCCAAGAAGAGGTTCTGGATGGTCTTGCTTGTGGCAGTAGCGTTCAGCTGGTCGATGCCCATCGCGTCGGGCTGGTTGTAAAGGCACTGCACATATTCGCCCGAGCCGGATGACTGAGCCTCTTGATGCTGCTTCAGCTGCTGGTGAAGGCGTTGTTGATGGAACGGTTGTTGCTGCTGGCGCGATTGTTTTTGTTGTTGGTCAGTTGACGCAGTGTGTGCCGGGTTTGATGCACCGGCAGGGGTAAACACAGCCTTGGGTGGCAGTCCAGTTCCTGTCGCGTTTTTACTGTTGCTGTTCGCCGTGTTAGCAAGCACGTCACGCATAGTCCGCCGCGTCCTAACTTAGAAACACCGTACCTCTCATTGGAAAAGCTGTGTGAGAAACTGACGCTGTCCAACAAAGGGACCTGCAGCCTTGGGGAGTCTGGAACATCAGGGCCGTCTTCGGCCAGAGTAAAGTTGACGTAGTGGTACTTCGACTCGCCGCGAACGCCCAACCGACGGGTCCTCAGGCCGGGAAAGAGGACGCGCACCAACTTGCCGAAGCTGGCAGGGTTCAGCACCGTGATGCGCTCATTAGCACACCGCGATGCGTAGTTGGCGTAAACGCGGCCACGTGGGACGGAGCCCTTGCCTTTGGAGCACACCTGGTTGATCCTGCGCAAATTAGAACTCGTTCCGTCATGAAACAACGAAACGCAGCTCCTTGAACGAAAAGGGCCGGCCGTGACTTACCAAAGCATCGCAAACACCTGACGAGTGCGCTCCGAGTTGGGCCCACGCTCGTTACCGTGCAGCTCTTCAGCAACATCCTGAAGGCTACGCGCCTTGTTGGCATTGAACAACTGGCGCATCTCCAACTCGTTGTTCGCACTAGAACGAGAGGGCTTGGGAGCGTTCGCGGCCATGCCCGCTGCCAAAGACGAATCGCCATCCTCATTGCCATCACGGGTCAGTTCCATCTGGCTGTCGAGGTCACCAAAGCTGGCGTCCGCGCCAAAACTGGTGTCTCCGTGCAGGGAGTGTTGATGACCAAGGCCGTTGGCGTGGTGGTGGAAGGACTGCGCGGGGCCAACCGACGTGGCCATAGAAGCGTCGAGGCCGGAGAAGTCGCCGTTGGCCTCGAGTTGCGACGCGGCTTGCAGGATGATATCCTCAGGCGTAAGAGGGTGGACGCCGGCGAGGCCAGCCTTCATCATCTGGCCGGCACCGGCATGCGGATGGTGAGCATGAGCGTTGTTGTGCTGGCTGTGATCGTGGCCATCGTCCAGCCATGGCGTCGCAGAGTACAGTTCGGGGAAGCTGTGTTCGAGATTGGGCTGCGTGCTGCCGCTGTGCATGGAGCTGGTCGAAGCCCGCGACTGCGAGCGACGCCGCGCATCTACTAGTTCAGTGGCCATCGTGGTGGTCATGTGTGGGGATACTAAGTGACGGGGAGAGGAAGCTGCCGTAGGAGTCGTTAGAGGGAATACGAAGGCGACGATGTCGAGAATCGCTGCATAAAGGCGAGGGGGATGGCGATGGACGGGGGGGACGGGGTTGGGACGAGACGAGGGGCCAAAAAAAAACCACGAATCGAACTCGAGGAGGAGAAGAAAAGGACAAAAGAACAGGAGTGCTGTGACGAGCCTTACCTTATGTGGCTTGCTGCGACGAGGGAGTTTGTTGATGTTTTCGATAATGTTTTGTCTCGCCCCGCAGTTATCAAAACAAAATGAGGAATACAGACTCCAAGCCGGTCAAAACAACAAAAAAGAAGCGGCAAATAACAAGAAAACAGAAGAAAACAGCTCGCAGCCGCGCCTCGGTGCCGGCATCCAAATTATCCAACGGGAAGTAAAACGAATGAACGACGCAAAAGCAACACACAGGGAGTGATTGCAGACGATAGCGATGCGTGTTGAGGCGGCTGGCGGGTGGTGGTCGTTGAAAAAGTGCCACGATACGCAGGGCTGTTGAGGCGGTTGGGAGGAAAAAGAAGGGATTGTTTGGTCGATTTGTTTTGATTTGGGTGGGCTAACAAAATATCCGGTCCTGTCTCCAAGGGGAACCAAAACATTGCGGGCGCATTGCTCCTGCCAGCCACAACACACTGCCAAATTTCGACAACAAACCAGGTGACTCCACAATCCGAGGAGCCGAGTCACGGGGTCTCCGTGCTGTGATTGGCTAAAGCGTTTGTTGACGTCCCGCCATTGCCTATTTCGTACTAGAGTAGCCAGGTGAATACCTTCCTTATGTAATATTTCCGGTCTCAAGTCTCGTATGGATACCTTCCCAAATTAAGCATAGTCCGAAGACTATGGAGCCTTACATACAAGGCAACAATAACCAGCCCGTTGTGGCGCAATACAGCCGTGCGTATCGTCAATCATGCACTGTATCGCACTGTCACCGCCCTGTACGCCGTAATTATTCGTACATCGCTATCCGATCGACCATCCGTCGCTGCTGAAACAAGTCAAGCACATGCCGCCTAGCACACAGTGCTAAAATACGTCACCACCTGCCTTCTGCCGACATCCTGCGCCCGTTTTTGTATGCCCCCTGCTAAACCCATCTTCGCATTGCTATCAAGCAAGCTACAGTGCGCTAGTCAACTTGTTAGCGGACGAGCTGAGTAGCCAAAGCAAGCAATGATAGCGCCTGGAAAGGCCCAGAGGACCCGGAACGAGCCCACTTTATGTGCCTCTCGGTTGCTCCTGCTCCCCTCTGACGACTTCTCGACCCGTCTCAGCTTGCTACAGCTCGCCCTTCGATCCTTCCTGGAACTGCTTGGCCAGGCCTCTTGCCGGCGCCACAAAGCACACCCACTTATCTTGAGCTGCCCACTTCCTGCTTCTCTTGCTGCCCTCCTTCAGCCGAGTCAAATTTTCTTGTTTCCTTCCCCGGACCGATCGTACTTTCCATCGTCATCCTTTCAAACCTCATCCATCTCCTTTCCATCGCCAACCCCGAAAGTGCAGCCTCAACGCCTCGCAGGTTCGTGATGACCCCCCTTTCCCACAAGCTGTCTCTGGCCGCTGCGATACGGAGTAGACAGGGGCACAAGACCCCTGCTATCTGAGACCCTCCGAGGATGCCCCAAACTAAGGTGTCCTCTTTTTTTGCGAGCCCTTTCTGGGGCTTTATCTGACGAATCGCCTCGTTTCTGACTTTGCTCTTTTTTTGCTCCCTCCCACAGATCCTTTTGTTTAATCGAAATCGCATCTTTTTGCTTCCCGCAAACATCCACACCGATAACGTCACTACTCAACCGCTTCCAAACCATCCGCCAAAATGTCGTCTCCCCAAGACCGTGTCCAGGGCTACCTGAAGCAGCTTGACTCTGAGGTCAGTTCTCATTTCTCCATTTCTCCATCTTCTTCGTTCTCATTCTTGCTTCCGAGCGGAAACACTTGAGCTGGCTACACCTCACCCCGTTGCCTGGTTGTGTTGTTTCGTATTTGATCTCCCTGGGGGTCGCACTCGGTGCTTCCTTTGTTCTTTCTGCAAGCTCTTATTGGGTCGCGAGAGTACTATTGCCAATGACGCAACTTTCTGGCGGCATACAGCCCGTTTCTTGGATTTGTGACATTTGTGACAAAGCCTCGATGCTAACCTCTCCATGTCGGCCTCCAGCTGTCCAAGTACCCTGTGCTCAACAACCTCGAGAAGAACACCGCCGTCCCCAAGTCGTACGCCGCTCTGGGTCTCGGCGCTCTGTATCTGTTCTTCATCATCTTCAACCTCGGCGGTCAGCTCCTGACGAACTTCGCTGGCTTCGTCATCCCCGGCTACTTCTCTCTTCAGGCGCTGTTCACATCGTCCAAGAACGACGACACGCAATGGCTGACCTACTGGGTCGTTTTTGCCTTTTTCACGTGAGCATTTGCTGCCTTTCTTCACTCCCTGGCCCAGTCGGGACGGAGGTAGTTCCAGAATATAAGCGGGGTCTGCAATGCTAACGAACACTTGCAACAGTGTCGCGGAGAGCTTCGTTAACGTGGTTTATTGGTTCCCCTTCTACTACACGTTCAAGTTTATCTTCCTGCTGTGGCTGTCTCTGCCCTACTTCAAGTAAGCTTTTCCGTAATTTTCCCCTCGTGCTCGTGCACCATTTCTTGTTTTTCCTCAATTGTACTGCTGCTGCTGGCCTGCCCAGCTGCTGCATCTCTGCGTTGCTCGGCAAGCGATGCGGCGTTTATGGGCACTTTTAGGCACTTTTGCCAGTGCTTTGTCAGTTTGAGTCTGCCAGGAATCTCGAGCTAATATTTTGTGTCTCACTCCCTTTCCTCTAGCGGTGCTGAGGTCGTTTTCCGCTCGTTCCTCGTTCCCACTCTCGGCCGCTACTTCACCCAGTCGGGCTCCGCTGGCCTGCGTGCCAAGGCGGATACTGCTGCCAAGACCGAGTAAACACAGCAGCTCGACCTCGTACAGGCAGCGCAATTGCGTGCTCTCCTCTCGAGCCAGTGCACGGCCTGTTTGGGACACCCACGCCTAAACAGCCTCTACCTCCCTCTCATGGGCACTCTTGTCCTTTCCTGCGAATTCAGCTCCTATCGTCTCAGCCAACAGCTGCCGCTACGATACCCTTCTGATACCATGAAGGAAAGGAAAGGAGGAAGCTCCAGCCAAAGGCGGCACTCCCAATCCACCACATCATTCGACACGTTCGAAGACCGAGAGGAACGCCGGTCTGTGATGTCACGCTATTTACATTTTTGACACCTGGCAATTGGAAAGCAACCACCTGGCCTTTGCTTCCCTCTCGAATCTATTGACTTGAATGGTTTATACTTTTATGTTTCCTTCCTCTTGACGCGCTGGGCATGAGTAATGACAAGCCGAACCGGCGGCCAGGATGGGGGTTCACCACATAGACAGTTCGTTTTTCTTTTCCTGTTTTCTTTCATATTTGCTTTTTTTCTCTTCCATGTTTTGCTCGTCTCGCTTCTTATCTTTCATGTCTTTCCTTTCACGGTACTTTTTGACGATGGATGGGGAGGCACACTGGGATTTTGTATGCCCATGACCTGGTTTCATACTGGAAACATCCCTCTTGGATGGGTATTATGTTCTGGTTCTATTCTTCTTGATTTTCTTTCTTGGGTCATATGCATGTGTTTGTGTGTCTTGTTTATGTCCTTGTACTGGTAGGCTCTTGGAATATGAACAACTATATATCACCGGCCAGCTTCATTTCGGGCACATTCCACGTAGCTGGGCGGCTCAGGAGCAAATAAGGACGAGCGGTGCTTTGCCCATGTGCTGTTCTTATTCTTCATTTGTGATGCTTTCTTTATTTTTATATTTCATTTTCAGATCCTTTTCAGTTTGATAAATATTAAATCATTGGATTTTAGTAACCCAATCTTAAAACATTCGTCGCAGGCCCGCCAAGCATGTATATTTATTGTTTCTGACAGGAAACAAGTAATAAGCAAAGCCAACCTCGGGCATTCCGTGAAAGAGCCCAGCTGCGTGCATATTCGTAGCCTCGCATGTGGTGTTGTTATGTTGTATGTGCCGTGTTTGTGCTGTTGGGTGATGGCATAAATCAACTGTGGCTTGCATTCACTAGAACAACACATTTTGTGGCTGCAATGGTGCTGTGCCAGTAGGGGTCTTCCGCTAGCCAGCAAATGAGGCGCGGATGGTGACAGGGTGCTGTTTAGGTGCCTGGGCCGTTACGCCCTACAGCCTGCTCCGTAGTTCCTTGTAGGCCTAAACGTGCCCTGCCAGTGTCTGAGGCTCTGGACCCAAGAGGCCAGGATCCGCGTCTGAAACTCCAAATGTCAGCCTTCAACGACTCCTTTTTTCGATTCCCTCCCTCTCACTCGTGTTGGTCCCCGAGTCCCACGTTTGCGGCGCAGACGTCCGGGATGTTTCCAATCCGTCCATTTGTCTCTGGAATACACAACGCAAGTGTCGTCGATAATGTCTTGATTCTGTGAATACCAAAGGCCTGAGCAACGAAACGGGACGCCGCTCGACTCGTTCTCCACAAACGAAGCAAACAGCAACAGAACACACAACTCCAACAATTCGACACCAACATACACCCGTGTACGTATTGACAGCACCGGACGGCACGGAATAGACAAACGGGACAGCGAATACGACGGCTCCCGTCGGGGGGAGGCAGAACCTGTTGACGAATCTACGACGTTTGACATCACGAACAAAGAAGACAACCTATACACAAATAGACAGGCCTTTCGCCATGGGTTCACATGCTCCACGACATCAAAGGAGTCTGCTGGCATCGGTCGGCATGGCGTCAGCCCTGACGCTCTTCCTCCCTCTCCTGCTCCTCCTCTCCTTCCCACACAACTCGGCCGTGGCCGCGACAACTGATACAGATGCCGACGCCGGCGTCCTCGAGGCTCCATCCCCATTACGACCCGACGGTGACGACGGCGGTGGCGGATTCATACAGGGCATATTTCGGTCACTGCTGCAAAATGGGGGCAGCACTGGCGAAGACGCGGGCAGTGCCGCGGAGGGCAGCTCACAGACCCGCCTGTATGAGCCCGACTTTGGCATCTTTGACCGGGGGATTCTGGGCCGGGCCCCACCAGGCGTCTCGTCGCTGACCAACAACGTGCCTGTGACGCTGAATGTCGTGCCGGGCACGACACAGGTGTTTGTGTTTGAGAAGGCGCTCATCTTCGGCCGAGAAGCGGAAGAGAGAGAGAAGCAGCGAGACGTCGAGCTGCGGAGACGCGAGGCCGGATATGAGGAGGGTGACGGCGACGACGAGCGGGACAAGGGCAGACTCGACCTCGAGGACGGCGGTGACGATTCGGAGGGGCTGTTGCGGCGGCAAAGCAACGCCACGTCGCGCACTGTCTACTTCTCGGCCAACACGTGCATCCAGCCGCAGCTGCTGTCGTCCACCATCAGCGGCGCCGCGCCGCAGCTGACCATGTACGTGTCGACGACGTCGTCCAACATCTCGCCGGGCCCGGCCAGCAACCCGGCGCACCAAACGTACTACGTGTTCGAGGAGGGCGCCGTCATGGCCAGCCTCAACGTGACGGACGACGTGTACATTGGCATCTCTGCGCCCAACATTTCCAGCACGATGCTCTCGGGAACGTACAACTTCCAGCTGGGCGCGTCGGTCGACGACTACTACCACAGCTACGACAACGAGACGGACGCGAACCTGATTTGGGTCGACAGCGACTCGAGCGCGTCGCTGCTCATCACGCACAACCTGACGGACAGCACGGCGGCCGCGACGGACGCCAATGTGATGGGCGCCGAGCCGTACGTCATGTTTGCGCAGAACGTCGACGACCGTTCCGCCGACGGCGTGCGCTTCTCGTACTGCGGCCTGCAGACGTACGCGCAGATTGCGGCGACGAACAACGGCAAGTTCACGAGCATGGTCACGACGGGCATGACGCTGCGCGGGCTCGGCAACCTGCCGAAGCAGCAGTTCTACTTTAGCGGGCTCAATGCCAGCAGCAACTACGTCGGCATCCTGGCGGCGCTGCCGCAAAACGGCACCGGCCAGGTCGGGTCCAACGTGGTGGGCGGCGGCGGCAAGGTGGCGCGGGCCACGAGCTTCCAGACCAAGGCGCCCAATGCCAACTGCGAGGTCATCTTTGACCTGCCGTTCTGCAACGAGACGGCCTACGCCGTGCCGAGCAACCCGACGCGCTTCACCAACTCGTCGCAGCTCGCGGCCGTCTACGACCAGTACGCGTCCGACATGTTTGCCATTTTCAAGAACGTGCTGGCGCAGATCCCCTGCGAAGCGCCGGACACGCAGCGCTACTCGCTGGCGCGCACGTGCGCCGACTGCGAGGCCGCGTACAAGAACTGGCTGTGCTCGGTGGCGATCCCGCGGTGCTCCGACATCTCGGACAACTCGACGTGGCTGCAGCCGCGCGCCATCAGCCAGCCGAACCCGATCACGGGCGAGTTCCTGGCACCGGACCTGGCGGCGCAGTACCCCAACACGACAGCGTTCAACTCGTCGCGCAACCCTTTTATCGACGACACGATCGCGCCCGGCCCGTACAAGGAGGTGATGCCCTGCGATGACCTGTGCTATAACTTGGTGCAGAGCTGTCCGTCGAACATTGGCTTCTCGTGCCCACTGCCGGGCTACATTGGCTTCAACACTAGCTACGGCCGACGGTCGGAGGCGGACCAGGACGGCTTCGTGACGTGCAACTACCCCGGCTCGGCCCATTACTTCTCTGCCGCGCCGGCAGGTCCACAGCTCTCGTGGCTCGCCGTGATGGTTGTAACGTTTGCTGTGGTTATGGTGTAGAGATGTCTTATACGGTTCAAGCGATTTCGGATCTTTTGTTTTATTTGTAATTATGTGTATTTATTTAGAATGGCGTTTTGGAATTTTTGGAATGACTTGCTGCCAAAGGAGGACAAGCGGTTGGCGTTATTTATGTTATACATATTTGTTTTTAATGAGCAGTTATGTTGTCAATTTGTCTGGATAGAAATTATAACGTGAGATTTCGTTTGCACAGTATACTTGGAAAATACACACATATATACATATATATGTTTGAGGCTGTACAGACAATCGACCAAAAACGGGATGCTGATATCACACCAGAAATATATGTACATGAAAATAATTACCAACCAAAACGCCTCGTGACAACCGTCAATGCATCTCATGAGCCATCCTGTAAAGCACCCCATCAAAAGACACAGTTTACGCCTTCTTACCCTCTTGCAGCTCCTTCACTTTTGTTTCCAAAGCAGTGATCTCTGCTACCGGGAGTTAGCCACGGGTTTAACAGAGAAGGCCGTCGTCGTGTGACATACCTTGCTTATCACTGCGGATCTCGTCCTGTTCCAGCTTGGACCAGCCGAAAAAGACCAGCTGGTAGGTGAAGATGGCCATCAGGCACACTTTGAAGATGGGACGGCCAAACGTCTTGAAGAAGGAGGACTGCAGGCTGTTAGCATGGCCAAACACGCAAAGTATTAAAATACAAAAATACAAGGCCAGCTTGTCAGCAAGCTATTGAGAGCATCGTACATATGCGGACGGTTCAGGGGAGGAAGAGTTCCAGCGACGGCCGATGACTGCAGAATGGTGCCTGAAAGCCGGGCCTTGGCGGGTTGCTAGACGCAGGGCCGGTGCGGCGGTCGTAAGAAGGCGCCTCGGAAGCATGGTGTGAGACGATGGCGAAAATGGGGAGACGGAGTGGCGACGACAGCCGGTATTGTTGCGTCGTCCGATGCGATGTCGTCGGAAAAGCAGACATTGACTGACGTCGGATTTTTACCAATGTCGATCGATTTAACCAATCATGTGCGCAACTGTATGTAGTCAAGGAAGGCGCGTTGGGGGACATGGCCCCCCACAGTACTGCTTTCCACCTCTACTGGAACTTGAGCCGCGACCCACTAAATGCCGGGGGCCCACTCGCTGCCTATGCTCTTTCCCACCACATTCCCCCCTAACAATGACCGAGCTAACGCCTTAATGGGCTTGGCCCCAGCACGGCGAACCAGCTGGAAGGAAGGAACGAAGCGCAATGTGGCCGCAAAGGGGGCAGAACACAGAAGGTGTCGATCTGTCCCCAATCGACGACTCGGCAGGAACAGGCAGTCGTAGCTTCCTTTTTATATTGGTCCCCAACCGCATCCAACCAAAAGCACCAAAGGGGCAATTCGAGTATCTTTTGGGACGTTGACACATTCCACGAATTGACACTTTACTTTTCCATTTCGTTTCCTTTCGACAGCCCTCCCAACGTCTTCCATCATCGACGCGCCTTTCCGACATCCAGTTTCCACTGCGAATCGCATTCTCGCGATCCTTCTCCCACGCGACACTTGCCGTCAACCCCATTCTTTCTCTCTTTCTCTCTCTCTCTTTCGCACACACAAATTCACACAATCGTCATAATGGTAAGCCCCCATTTCTGCAGGTCGGGTGGCCTCGCGGCTGAAGACAACGAGGGACAGCGACCGTATCCTGTCGCAGCATCGTGCTAACCCATCTCTCCCCAGGCTCAAACACCCGAGCAGCGGCGCCGCAACGCCAAGTTTGCCAAGGAGCAAGATGCTCGCCGTGGCAAGTCCGAGGCCGAGCTGAAGCGCCGCAGCAAGGAGGTGCACAAGTCGCCCGTGTCGCCGGTGATTCTGGGTACGTGAGCAGCCCTTCGCCCCCTTCGCCAATGAGGAACGCCCTCGTTCTGTCCGAGCTGATGCTAACATCCCACCCTCCCCTCTAGGTCTTCTCGGTTTCGTCGTCTTTGGAGGGCTGGTCTTTGAGGTCTTCTCGCGTTTCTTCGTGTAGAGACTGCGCTGCGAATACACCTCGTCTCTCGGAATGCCAGCGGTCTCCCGTTGCGCATGGACGCCATTCGCGAGCAACAAACGACATACGAAAGCACACGCCGACTCCACGACACCCTTCGAACTTCTCACTCCTCACACTCATCCCTGAGACCGACAGCGTACAATGCCCCTCCTTGCACAGGCTCATGAATGCCCAAGGTCGCGACCAACACAACCTCGAACAAAAGTCTGCTCACGGGAGCGTTAGCTCGAGACCAAAGCGAAAAAGAAAGACGAACACACAAAATTACGGGGCGAGAGACGACGCGAGCAGTCGACGCTTGTCGACTCCTTGCTTTGTACGAACAGTGGCGGTGGAAGAAAACAATGAGACGACGGCAAGAGGCAGAGATCACGACCAAAGAACAATAGCTGTGGGCGGCTCTTTGTTCTTTTCCCTCGCTTTTCCCTCTCCGTTTTCCTTTTGTATTGTTGGGCTATTTTATCTCTTTTTTTTCTTTTTTTTCTCTCTGTATCTTGGATTTATTTTTCAGCGTCAATATCAATGTTCATTTTCATCTCATCAACTCGAGGAGACGGAAATCAAATCTGTAAGAACTTCGCTATGCTCTGTCAGCAAGGCTGTAGGATGGGGCTCACTGGTTGATATCTCAGCCTTTTGGCACCTCATGTTTTGTCAGTGAAGCCTGGGTTGACAGTCCCAATGCACCACGGAGCCATATTCCTTGGCATCGTGTTACCATGTCCTCTATACGGAGTACTTGAGCAGGACAACCAAGAGAGGAAGCTGTTGACATTTCTTCATCTTTGGGAAGGACGCAAAGAGGTCGATAACCACAAACTCATGGTCAGTCGCCTTGTCTTATCATTTTTTTGTCCACCTCTTACTTGATCCCAGTTCAGCCACCATGGGGAGAGTACGGAACAGTTCAGAAGAACCAGAGTCATGGGACGTAACGTACGCCCTACTCCGTAGAAGTGGCCACAGTCTGTCATATCGGCCACTTGCAAAAAGAAGGAGAAATGCTATTCGTCTCAGCGTTGAGCAAGTTGCGATTCGGAAGGCAGACTGAAAGGCTGATTCAGGGGCATGACTTCCAACAAGCAAAAGACGGGCCTGTCAAATCCCAAAACATCCCCAAGACCCGAAAGACGAAGAAGCAACCGGGTAAAGGTGGGACTCGGGGTGGAGGTGACAAGAGCTTAAGAGTTAAAAATGGAAAAGGCAGAACACAAGGTTGAACGGCGAGGGCGAGATGTGGGACGATCGATGATATACTTCTTTCTCCAATACTGAGCATAGAAACACGGAATGTGATCTTTTCACTTGTGAGCACATGCTCTGTACCGAGTAGAACCACTGCAGTCCGACGTTTGGCCGAGGAGAGACATAATGAGACCAGAGTCCAAGGCGGTAAAAGACAAACGGCAAGGCAACATTGAGGGATGAAGCAAAGGCGACGTGCCCGTGGGATGGCGGGATATGCAGGACAAATAGGACAACTAGGACAATCGGACACATACCGTGTTGGGACGTGTGAGTGGCAGGACAATGCACAATATTCGGAGATGATTTGTCCCTGCTTACTATTTTGGCTTTTGGCGCGTGCCTCCCGTCTGCCGAATACAACCCCTTGGCGAGCCGCCTGTAGTTGATGTCTTGATGTCTATTGATTTCTTGTTGGTCTGCTGCAAATAGGACAATAGAAGGAGCGGGTTGTTCTTTTTTTTTCATTTTCATTTTTTATTATGCGTGCACACGAAATGGGTTAGTCTGTTTTTCCGAATCCTGTTGAGAAAGTCCTGGATGTACAACATACGACGCAGGCATGTCGTATGTGCACGTCGTATGTACTTAGTTTCAATGGGTAGGAATCCTATCTGCACGGCCCCATGACTTTACCGAAGGTTTGCTGCGGAAATAGGAAACTCTCTCCTTTGATTTTTTTTATTAATTTCTTTCATCTTCGTTCTTTATGACAAAGTGTCATGACGACCCTTGCATATGGTTGCTGCCTAAGGATATATCGTTTCCTTGCCCATTTTGGTTTGGACCCCTGACTTATCTGTTTCGTTGTTTATTTCAGACGAATAGTATTTTTAGTTGCTTCGTCAAGACGCTTTGTATCATCCTGGACAGACCACGTCGAGCTACCCATTCCAAAGCCAAAGCAGGGGGAAGACCCCACAAGGCCCAAGGCAGCAGGCCGCCCTGACAATTATCTTTTGAATCTATTTATCTCATTTGATTTTTCAGAATGGAGCTTTGCGTCGTTTACTTTTCCTCTTCCGGACATTTATCGAGCTCTTCTCTTATTCCGCCTGCCAGTGAATTACAGATCCTCAATTCGAATGCACAGACCGAGCGGTACACTTCCTACCAAGAGACGCCAGTTGTGAAAAAGAGTTACGCAACCTGGGTCAATTTAAAAACCTGCACAAAAGTTGGACTACTTATTCCAGAGTTGGTTAGAACCATAGCATCCACTGACGCGAAAGCGAGGCCCAGCCAAACTGAAGCACGACGTTTTTTTTTGCAGAACAAAGCTTTTGTGTTGTTTTGTGATGTCAAGGACCTAACAGGAAAATTTTACAATGGGTGGTGAACAAAGGGACGAGTAAAGCTCCACGTTATGTGACCCCCTTGGTCGAAGCGAAGTGCCAGCAAGATGGAAGGATAGAACGACTGCAAGCCTATGTGGAAGCAAGTAGATTTTCGATATGGAGATTCTAAGATACGAGAATATAGAATAGAGGTACGCAAAGCAAGAACACAACAATGGAGAGGGCGATACAAGTGCGCGTAAAAGTACAACGTCCTCTTTTTTCTAATGTGGATCGCGGGGAAAGTGAAAGAGAGGATTTCTCAGGAGGAGGGTTCGAACCGACAGCAAAACTCTACGTAAAGCATGTAGCCAAAAATAAATCACATCAGAGAGCCCAAGAGAGAAAAAAGAGAGAGAGAGGTAAGTAATCGATGGAGACAAATCGGGGGAGACACTCCAAGGTAACATGATATGGGGGTATAGAGCTTGCCAATCAAAGCTAGAAAGGAGGATATCTCGTTTTTTTTGCTGCCTTTGTCCCTTGGACAACACTCGGCAGTGGTGTGCCTGGCGTGTAATCGTACCAGGAAAACGAAAAGGAAAAGAATAGACTCGAATAAAGAAACCAAATACACCAATGGTGTGTCAGAGGAGGGAGGGAGACCGAAAAAAAAGCCCATGAGAAAGCCCCGAGGAACAGCTAAATAAAGCAACCAAACAAAATGTAAAATGAAACGCCGGTAAAAAATGTCCCCTGTTATCATGTCAACCCAGAAAATAAAAACGAAAATCCCTTGCTAACCCTGCTATGAACAATGCAAGCGTGAAGGGAAAATAAGCATTTCCCCCTCTTCCAAGATAAAAATAAAATAACAAAATGATAAAAATAAAAAATAGTCGTATGGCCCATAGTTTAGTCGTTATCGTCGTTTCCGTGTATCTTTTTTTGGTAGTAGTTTCTCGAAGAAGAATGTCTTATGCGTAGTAGGGATGTGATCGAAGTGGATATCAGACAAGAGGAGAGAGTGTGAGTCGTGTGGAAGGGGAGATAATGTATTAGTGGAAACGGTGAACAATAAGAATTCGGGACGAACGTTGACGGTCAGGCGATGTACTGTTTAAGCCTCGTAGTCGTAGTAAAAGGAGCCGTCGTCGTAGTACTGGTCGCCCTGGGACGCGGTTGCCTGTGTGAAGTCGTCGCTGCTGCGATTGCTCCCGCGGCTGTCACTCGCACCGCTGCTGCTGTAGGAGTAGGCCTGGCTACCGTCATCAGCCATGTAATAGTAGGCCCCCGTAGGTGCCGTGGTACCTGCGTGACCAGCCATGGCGGCGGCGGAAGAGACAGCCAAGCTCGAGGGCACAGTGGAACCGGCACTGCTGCTGCCGCCACTGCTGCCGTGGGCATAGACCGTCGCGGTGTCGTCAAAGTAGTACTCGGACATGGAGCCGCCGCCATGCCGGCTGCCGCTGCTGTGACGGCTGCCGCTACCGCCGCCGAGAGACTCGTGGCCTTTGGCGACCATGAAGCGCATGCTGGGGCCGCCCCAGGGCACACCCGAGAGCTGGTCGTCGACACTCAGGTCATCAGGGCCCGGGACCTGGTAGCTGCTGGCGGCGTGTTCTTGGTTGCGGGACTCACGCTCAGAGCGCTCCTTCTGCTCGCGTGCCTTTTCGCCTGAGGATGTTAGTGCTTGATGCCTCATGCTAAGCGAGAGCAACGACGGACGGACGGCTAAACTTACGAAATTTTCGCTGAGCAATGCGGTTTTGGATGCGGCGGCGCTCTTCCGGATCAGTAACTTCGCTCCAGTCGTCGCTCTTCTTGCTCTTGCCGGATGACGCTCGTCGACTGCTGGACGACGTCGGTTTTGAGGATCGTGTAGCGAACATGTTTGCGGTGCTGGTGGTGGAATCGTCTCGTGCAGATGAAGCCGAGGAAGACGCTGTACTTCGTTCTTTGGCCCGCTCTTTGCCTTTGCTCTTCTTTCGCTTGCCTTTTGCTTGAAGTGACTCCCGTTCGGTGTCGGAGCCAGAGTATTCAAGCTGTTGTTGCTGAGACTGGAATATGGCGCGGGGCGTCGTGGGCTCGTCTGCGTCTTGGTCGTATTCTGGTGTTGTGTTAGATCGTTGTTGGGAGCCTGTATTGCTTGGATGGCGATATGCCTTTGAGTTGTGGTGTGGTATTTGACCAGAGGACATTTAAGAGAGTGGAAGAAGAAATAGAAGAAAGTGGGAGGTAACGGAGGACGACGAGACAAGGAAAGAAAACAAGAAAGAAACGAAGGAGGGAAGAGCAAAATATAAATATATTTAGAGAAAAGAGGGTGAGAGTAACAAAACAAAAATAGACAAAGCCAGTAAGGCGTTGGAAGGTGTGAAGGCCAGTGTGTAGAGAGAGAGTGTGTGTGTAAAGAAATAGAAACGCACAAATAGAGAACAAAAGTTGAGGTAGATAGGTCTTGAGGCAGGGCAGAGGAAAGTGATATATATGTACGCGGCTTAGAATTTAGGTTAGTGGGATCCATGCAAGTGCACTGGCGTGTATCTGCGTCGCAAAGGGGGGTGGGTGTGTGACGCAGGTGAAGAATAGGCAAATCTGAGGGGAACAAATCGTTTGCATGCAAGTGTTTTTTTCTATATGGAAAACCTCCAAAATAATAACAGTAAAACATAGGCAAGGTTGGTGGATATGGCTCTGGACTAGGTTGCTCTTGTGTAGGACTGAACTGGGTAGAAATTGGAAAAGTGAATGGGCGAGTAAAGTGAATAAATAGAGATTCTTCTTCTCTATTGCTTGGGCTGGGTTGTGGGCACGTTCTGACTCTTTCGATTTAGTCTTGCTTTTTTTTTGTCTGAGCCTCTCGATTTGACTCTTCGAGAGCATCTTGACTCTTTTATGTCTCTCTCGGCAACCGCTGTTCGTCATTCTTGTCCACTGCGTCCAAAAATGGTCCCTCAACTAAGGTCGAGGATTCCAGAGTTGTCGTCAGTCGTCTCAGCCCCCCCACGACCGTGGTATAGCTCATTTTCTTTTGTTCTTTTATTCATTCATTTTTTTTTAAAAAAAAGAAGAACAAAAGAAATCGATAAATAGCCATAGAGACAAGATTGGATGCAGCAGAAGGGTCGAGAAAGGCTGAGGCACCGGTCATTGCGTGGAGCACGTTCCCAAAAGAGCTAAGATGATCAAAGTCGATGTACAACAAAGCTTGACTCGTGACGCACCACCATCTCGACCCGTCTTGTTTCCCCTGACTATGACGAGGCCTAGACAAGACAACGGTGATGAGAGTGGAGAGATATGAGGACCATAACGTCCAATGATAGCTTGAAGTTTAGTTTAAAGAAAAAGGACGAGGTGGAGGGGGTGTGCGGCTGTTGGAGGTCGTCGACGACAACAGGCAAGGCTATGGGGATGACGACGACAGATCGAGAAGGCAGCAAGCAATTGACACTCGGCATCGTACCTGAACCTCGCATTTTGGCCGCTCCGACAAAGCGGCTACGGGTAGGGCGGGAGGGAAGGGGGGAAGGAGGGTGTGGAGAGGTGTGACGACAGGGATGTTCGACTAAGGTTAAAGACAAGAGAAGACGCAGAGACCAAATTAACGTAGCGAAGAAATGAGAGACAGAAGTTCGAACCAGTGTGTTGTCGATGATGCTTACCAGTTTAACCAGAGGCAATGCTTTGACGTGGGCGAGAGATGCGGTTGATGTGATCACGTTGAACTAGCAGAAGAGGTAGGCTGGGCCAACAAAATAAGCGTTGCAATTATATCAGACCCGAGAGTTGAGGTGAAGGCCGACAGCGAAGGACGGTAAGAAGTAGGATACGTGTTCTGCTAGGCGGCTGTCAATATCACAGATCGAATAGAACAAAAGCAGGAAGTAAATGAAAGATGGGAATGAGGAAAGAGAGTTAGAATATGTGGGAGGCTAAGCTAAGTTGAAATGTCGTCAGGGGAAAATGGACCAGGGGAGAAAAAGAATAAAAGAATAAAAGAAAGACGAGCTGAGGAGAGGGGGGGGGGGGGGTGGTAAGGCGATGGAGCCTGGCCACGAGGGGGGTGTGCTTATGAAAGCGGCCGTACAATGTACAAGCTTCTTTGCATCTCGTGTACAAGCACACTCGTGTTTGAAAACTGGAAAAGGACCTTGCAAAGACAGAACCCACAAATGGCTATGGAGTGTGGTAGTTACTTCCGAGAATACCTGAACATCACATGAGACTTGAGATGAAAAGCCGGGGTCGATAGCAGTGTCGGAGGGAAGGGAGAAGAAGCAGAAGAAGCAGAGGAAATTTGAGCTGCAGAAGTAGTGATTTCGATGATGACGACACGATGGCACCAAAAAGTTTGCCTAAGGATATTATCAAAGGTGTCGGAATTGCAAAAGGTGCAATGTCAACCGGAGCCCGAGTAGGATGCAATGGAGGACACGGTCATGCACCCGTTACATACAACATACAGTAGGACGGAGTTAGGAGAAGAATGGGGAGTTTGGCGCCGTGAACCGAACAAATAAAGCATCGAACAAACGACCAGGAAGAACGAAGCGAATGCTGAGCGCTGAGCATGACGTTGCGAGCGAAAACATTGGAGACCACGCGAGACGACAAGCAGGGACGAAATCCCCGATGGAGTGAGACGTGAAAGTTCGAACAAAACAAACCAAAAAAGAGCAAAAACAGAAGCGGAACAAGCATAGAAGGTTAAAAGAAAAACACGGTAAAATTAAAGGCAAACATAGAGGACATGGGCCGAATGTAGAGGCGGGAGAATGTATTGCGTGTGCAGCGAAGGCAGCGAAATAAACAAGACAAACAAGGGGTGGTCTGGCGCGCAAGCTTTGCTGGTAAGAAACGAGCCCGACTATTTTGGAGAAAGCAGAGGTTCGCTTTGGAGTGAGCGCAAGTGGAGATCAGATGCAAAAGCTGGCGGATGCCACAGCCACATCGGCTATGTGAACTGACCAGGGGGTGAGGGCAGTGGGACACGTTATGTGGACAGAAAAGGCAGAGAATCAAAACATCAAAACAAGCACGTAGGCATGGCCAAAGATTGTAATTACATACCGGTAGGAAATGCGAAGACGATGAATTTGGAAAAAGAATTTATAGGAAGAGAGAGCAGATCTCACGATGATAAAGGTGGAAGTAGAAAAGGGGGAACCAATGGGGCCAAAAAAGTGTAAGGAGGAAAGAGCCGAGTGAAGACTTATCAGATGCCGGCAGGAACGATGAAGGGCGCCGTTTGACGGCTCTAGATCCTTTTCTTGCTTTAAGTATGTACGACCTTCGTTCCTTCCCGGAGTTGATCCCGAACGGAAGGAGCAATCGAGCGGAGGAATAGGGCAGGTGCAGGAGGGAAGGATTTCAAGTTTGAAAGGCTGCTTGACAATGCAAAATAGCACAAACACTCAAAACACTCAAACGCGTGCGAAGACAAGACAACGAACGGCACGAGGAACGAAAGGAAAGACACTTGAACGGGAACGGAACGCAGCCGCGGTAGCGGTGGCCTGCATGCGTGCAGCTTTGTCTACGGAACTTGTGCGTATTGAATGCCTCTCACGCGAATAGAATATGCGCCCATTGACGAGGAAATGGAAAACCCGAAGCACCGGACGGCGGACGAGGAACAGGAAACAGGTTTTAAACACGCGTTTAGCAAAAGTCAAAAGCCAAGAAGAGAGAACTCCGCTGAAACTGGCATTCCCATACGACGTTAAACAGAACTAAGACAGGCGGAAAGGGACAAAAAAGAAGAGGAAAAAACAAGCGACGAGACTGAAGGGCCTAAAAGAACACACGCCCAGTCAAAGAATATTCATGCCGTTAACGGGATGCAACAAAAGATACCGTCCGAAATCATGGTGTTGGTTCGTCCACGGTGCACACCAAGGAAGACAAATGCCAGCCGAAATGGGCTGGTGGACGGAAAGGGGGGGCTACGTGTTAGTCACATCGGACAAGGGTGTAACACCATACGACGTTTGGAGTAGCCCACAAGAGCGACGGACCAGGGCCATGGATGGATGCTAGTAGGGTAGCTGGGTAGGTGTACAACATACTGCCGCCGCAAAAGCACCGGGACGTGGAGACGACAGAATGGTGGAATCGGCGAGAGTGGTATGGGAAAGCAGAAAGAGGTAAGTTTCAATACGAAGTACGCACTGGCAGTGCAGCAGTAATTACATTGCCTTTTTCGACCAGTGACTACTCATACTGCATCATACTGCGCAGGCAGCAATATTTCCAAGTGCGGCTATGGCTGCTTGCTACACTTATGGACAAAGAAGCACGATTCCTTATACTGTGAGAGACGGCAACACATGAAAGACGGACGGGAAAGAGATATTACCAACGGCACCGAGCTGCAACAGGAACAGCCCGCGCCCTGCCACCTGTCACGCCCAGCGACATTCCCGTCATAAATATGATTGATTCTTCGCTGCAACACCCGAATCGACCCGAGCAAAACCTCCCTAAGACTCGGAGGTCTACAAAAGACACTCACCACGTCCGTTGCATTTCCATGCTCAAGTCCATTGGAGCAATGGAGCACTGGGAGGTCGCACCTGGACCCTTCTCGAAAAGCTCACCGGTGAAGGCTAGTCACGGATTGTCGCGGGTTCAGAGAGGCAGATTCCAGAGGAAAAAAAATGGGCACGAAAAGATGGAGACGACTACTAGACAAACCTCGACATAAAAGGAGTTTTGCTGAGCCCGTTTGAATTGTGACGGCAAAGCGCGTATTACCTACGACATTACGAGATTGGCCGTTTGACATACAGAGTGCGATGGAGTGCAGTGTTTTTGAACTTTTGCACATCATCTGCCATCAACCATCTTGCCCTGTAAGGAGTACGGCTTACTCAATGGAGTTTGG